AGTCAACTTTTTACGTCCAACCCCACCCTTGCAAATCTTCGTCTTAAAATCGATCTTAAAGTCAGTTCTCATAATAGTTTTCGTAATCGTAATATATCGAATTAGTATCAGTTTACCTTGTTGGAGTTGGTAATTCAAATACTTGATAACGTCTTCTTTCACTTTTCTGATGTTTTAGGCCAACTTTCAGTCAATATTCAATAATGCGATGTGCTGTTTCTGGAGTAGTGATAATGTGACTGGCTTCGTAGTTGTTGACTCCGTTGTTGTGAAGCGTGATATTTGTTTACTCGGCATTGTTGTGTTCCCCAACAATGCCATGTAAATAAATATAAGGTGACATTGTTGATGACGTCATTTTTTGACGACAAATTTTATATTATATATATATATATATACTGGTATATTGTGCTTAATTTTAATAAATGAATATTGAATATTCATCATGAAAATCATGATCCAGTACTGCATGCGGTTGACGAAATTTAATGTCACGATTCTTAAAATTTTACAAATGTAATGCTTCTTGTTGATCTTAAATGTTACGGTCCATTATGGTATGAAGGGTCAAGTTAACGTGAGGTTGTCGATGGTACATAGGGGTTGCCAACATTGGTGTTTAGATAATTCTTGTATGTTATTTTCTGTATGTCGTCGTAGTTATTTTTCTTACGCAAAATACTTTAAATTGTACAGGAATGTATGTTGTGAAGTACTGTTTAAAGGTAATTTTTTATAAGAGACGAAATTAAATCACATTCCAAAGATGAGTACGTGGGTGAGAACCATTATGACTATTGCTATCTGAGGGATATAGGTTATGGTAGAACATGATATCTGGTACCGACTGTCGGATATTGAAAGGATAACTATATCTTATCGTAAATCGTACTTTTACCTGTGGTGTTGAGTAAGTAACAGTTTTGAATGTCTGTAACCATGCAGAGATCTATTATGGTTAAAGTCGTTTGTATGTATATACATTCGCTTCCTTTTCTCGTTATAGGTTATTCATATCGAAGGCAACAGTTTGAAGGTAACAAGATGGAAGTAATATTTCTTCAAGTTATTTGCCTTGTTGTCCTCTTCATAGCAATGACATTCTGTAGTATTATACCAGTTCTTTTAGTGTGGAAGAAAAATAATGTTCACATAAATGAACGAATGAGCACATGGATCTCTTTTGGCAATTGCATAGCAGGTGGTGTTTTTCTGGGAATGTGTTTCCTAGGACTCTTTCCGTATGTTCACGAAAAGTTCACAGAAGTGCTGAATAATGCAAAAATTACAACATCATTCCCACTGTCAGAATTTGTTATTATAATTGGATTCTTTTTTATATTTACTGTAGAGCATTTGATTATCAACACTCATTATAAGATAGAAAAACAGACTGTTCCAAGTGAAGATGCAGTTTGCATATCTCATGCCGGAATCAGTGGAGATTCAAGACAAATGGGTGATGATGAATCATATGTGCGACTTCTGGAATTGGATGGCCAAGACCAAGACCTGTGTGAAGATAATGAAATATCAGTATCAAAACCTTCACTGTCACCCCATAACTTTCACTGTGGGCCAAGCAAAACACAAATCATGCAACCTATAGATATGATTCGCCATTCCCATTGTGATATATCATTTGCTGCCAGCAAAGCAACAGGTCTTCGTCATTTAATATTATTACTGGCTCTGAGCATTCATTCTCTGTTTGAAGGTGTGACACTAGGACTTCAAACAAATCAAGTCAAGGTGTTCCACCTCTTTTTAGCTGTGTTGCTTCATGAAATGTTAGTTGCTCTTGCATTAGGAGCTAATATAGCCAAACTGAACCTGGGTCTGCTGGGTAGTTTGAAGTACATCTTGATTGTGACCAGCAGTATACCAGTGGGAATATTACTGGGACTCCTGATTAGAACAGCTCCAGGCTTGCTAGGAGCCTGTGTTTCTGCAGTTCTTCAGGGAATTGCTGCTGGAATATTTATTCATGTTACTTTTATGGAAATTATTCCAGAAGAATTATCTGGAGGAAAGTGTTGCCTCTTGAAAATAATGTTTTTCTTCATTGGTTTTATGGTAATGGCTGTTGTAAATTTTGCTTTAGATCACTGAAAGTGATATTTCATGTTAAGTTTGATTATAATATCAGGAGCTTTTTGATTAAGTTTCCTTGAATTTATGAGCTGTGTCTTGGTGCAGCTTTCTAGAAGCTCCATCACAAGGGAAAGGTGATAACATTTCTCCCTGATATGAATCAGGATTAGTTTTCAGAAGTCCATATAGTGGAATGGAATTTTACTGTTTCGAAGACAGAGAGCACTTCTCAAACATCAGATGTCTATTCCTCTTTGACCAGAGAAAACTTCATTATTTGAGTTAGATGTTACGCACAAGTATGTACATGTTCATCTAAGACACTGCTTCCCAAACCTTTTCCTTCATTACCCAAAACCGCTTATCAGAAAGCCCTTTTTACCCAATGTAAGTAAATGATATTATTTTAAATAAACTAAAAATAATATAATGAAGATTACCTTTTCCAGTTGTGTATGGTACGATTTATAAACACAGCCAGCGCGATACATACCTCACACCGCCATAGCTAGCAACACACTGCACCTAAAGTTTAGACTAGACAAATAGACTCACTGACTTTAGTTTAGGGGGGGGGTTTACATGTAGACGTATTTTTTCAATTCTCCACGTGCATGCGAGCGCGGCAATAATTATTGAATCTAATAACAAGCGTATGGCATATTTATTAAATAGCAAATAAATACTTGTTAGACTGTTTTAGAGTATCGGTGCACAATGACTGATCCCTTTCTTCAGAGTACTACTTCTACAGTTTTACAGTAAATTTTAATGTGTATTCCGAGGTGTGTCGTTACCCAAAGAAAAACCACTTTTACCCCTTTTTGGGTAATTTACCCAGGTTTGGGAAGCACTGATCTAAGAAGTTTACACAGTTGATTTTTCTTAGTTTTAGGTTGATGGACGTTTGTGCTGACACACACACCAATGGTGTTTTCCACTTGGGATCTCAAATTTGGCCACTGCGCACACATGTTTATGTGTGTGTGTATACATGTATTTATGTATATATGTTGAAGTCACTCATGTTTTTTTGTGATATCAGTTTGTGGATGTAACATGGAATTTGGAAAAATGCAGATTGCAGTTAATAGCCATTGTGAAGTTCATTGCTGTTTGTGTCTCACATAATTGTGACATGTCATATTTGAAAAGTCAATTATTTTGCAGTATTTTGAAATTATTGAAAGTGGCAAATTTTCTTCCATGTGTAATATCATTTTCCATTGATATTTATATTGTAAGAGATGTTACAGTTAATTTGTAATGTTTACCTTATTAAGTAAGACCACAATGTGGTTTGACTATTCCTGATTTTGAAAAGTATATTTCTAGTGTTCAGCACTCCTCCAGTGCCATAGCACTCCAGTAGATTTTCTTCTCAGTTAGAATTTGTGTTAATGTTCCTACCATATGCTCTATTAAAATGAACCAAAGAACTTAAAAATTAACTGTTCTTTACAAGGACAAAACATAAAATGTTGGTGTTTATGAACATTACTGTTAATAATTCTGATTAAATTTCACCAGCTTATAGTGCAGATTATAAACAATGCTTCATATAAACTTACCAAATGTCTCCAGGAATAACTGAAACATTCAGTAGTCCCCAACCTGACACGTGCAAATTTGAAAGTTCAAATTGAAGTAGACTGTAAGCATTTGAAGGGGAAACATGGATGTGTTTAAAGTAAAACGGACTATAAAACAGAAGTAGTACCTTTTAGCTTTATCCTACAATGTTATCCTCATAACTGTTGTTTGATACTTTGTGAATTTAGTATCAGGTGTGAAGTGCTGTATCAGGACATTTGTGCAATATATGGTTAGTCAGTAACCCCCTAAAATTTCCATAAAGAGATCTGGATATTGTGCCTTGTAGTTGACTGCCATTTCAGATGTCACCCTGATGATGGAGGCAGTATGCATCTCTGAAACACTGGTCAATTTCTACAAGCCTGCATGGTGCAATATCCCAGAAGGCTGCCATTTTCTTACTTGCAGCCATGATAACATGAAGTCTTACTTTTCTTTTGTACATAATTATGTATTAGAGATATATATCAAACTGTGTGGACTGAATCCTAAGGACATACTATAGGCTGTGTTAACACACATTTGAAAGAAACCAAAAATTAGGTGTTGTTACATACATGTATTAAGTTGAAATCAGTATTAACTTATTGTCCATCAGCATGTGAGTCAAGATTCCATTCATTCCTAGACCCTGGAAAATATATTGAGGGGTTTCTCATGGTTTAGCTATCTTTATCCTGGGAAACATGTTTTTGACATACATCTGATACAAGAGAGCAGTCATGGATATGCTGGTCCTCAAATTTAGGTTACTTTCAGTGTATACTTGTTAAATGATCCTGTGTGTATTTGATGAGAACACAGTTTCCATGTTTCACTTGGAACATCATCTTTCATACTGCTTCCAGCATAAGTTAAAGTTGCTGTGGTATCATTCTCTTCAACATTTATCCATTCCTGAAAGCCAGTTCAGTTACTGTGGCATTTGCACCGTTTTGTGTTATTATTTTAATATTTTTATGTTGTCAATACAGTTTTACATTTTTATTTGTAATTACTATTTGAATTGTGTTTTTTTAAATAACTGGCATAGTTATCAAGCCTACAATTTACACAAGCATTGCACCATTTGTGCACCTGTTTTAAAAATATGTATATTACTGTAAGCTTTATAATTTATTATACACAAACATTACGTAAGTAACAGTATTTAGTCTGAAGATGGCGATCCTTTGGGTTGTGTTATATAATCTGGTAGAAATTTACCAACATTTAAGATGTGCTTACTGCTTCCATCATCACGGCAATGAAGTGGCAGTCAACTTCTACAAAATATATACAGTGCAAATGTCCCAGAAGGCTATCATCTTCATGCTTCCTGTCAGAACCTTAAATTTCACAATCCTAATTTTGATAAACATTCTGCTAATATTGTAAATCTGCCATTGAAAGAGAAAATTTGGTGAGAATCCCGTTGAAATCCACCGAATTATCACTTTTAATCTTACATAATCTCAAGTGTTGGTGTCCGATAAATTTTTATCCAGTTCTTTAACAATAGATATTTCTACATTTTATACAGTTAATCTTTAATCGCAGGAAGGACGTCATTAGTTCTATTTACAATGTTATTGACGTAAATACGTCTATACGGAAGGGTCATTCGGCAAACAAGTGAAAGGAAAACGTGTAAGATATCAACAATGTGTAAATATGGACCAACAACAATGGTCAGCTTGCGTGCATTGTTATGTTACCTAGGAAACGTCATGTTTACTCGGCATTGTGTGTTACATTACTGCCGTCAACAATCCATTTCGTTATTGTGTAAAGAGCTGAGCTGTGAATCGCTTGTAGAAGTGTATCGTAGACTACATAATTTTGTGCTGGTAAAAACGTTTTACAATATCACAAGTACTTATCTTATATAAGAGTTATTACATTACATAGACGTATTTACGTCAGATTTTCCGGAACCGTGGTTCCACTGTAAACTTTTTAAATTGCAGAAAGGGCACATTTTTAGACAACTGTAACTACCTCTCCCTCCCCCACAGGTTCGGAAATGTAGTATGGATATGTCTCAAAAGCAGCAGTGTGACTGCCATATCTACATCTGGGGTGGTATAACATTTTTATATCCGTATATCATAAGATTACTTTATACAGATGTGCAACTAAGTACTATTATTTGGCAACAGTACCGTAAATTGCCGAGGTTTCTCATGTGGTTTTCACACATTTCAAGTAAATTCTCAGACTACCTTCAAATTAGATGCGATTACTTTTCCCCATTTATAATCATTTTCTTTACTTCAAAGCTAAACTATTTCTGCAAACGATAGTGTCTTAAAACAGTTACAAATTTGCCATGCCACTATACTCATGGTGCATGGTATCGGCGAAAGGACTCCCAGTAATAGGAAAATGGGTGGGGTCCAGAGCCGGCAAAGAGAACTGAATCAAATCCCACTGACCCAGTTTGCAGCACGGTTACTCATCTTTAGTATCCGTGGTCAGTAAAGTGACCACAGAGTAGTACGTACCACGCTATTATACTGGTCATTGACTGAGCTACCCGATCAAGAATTATTTTTGAAAATTACTTAATCGTATAATACCTAATCTTACGTCAGCCAGTTACTCGTTATTCTGCGATCGGCGCAATCTTGTTGTCAAAGCGATGTAAAAACATAATTTGATTGTGATTTGGGCGTGGTTAGAACTTTATACATTTACTATTTACTTGCAGACGGAGATGAAATCATTTTAATAGCAACTAAATATAGTTAAGTAATATTTATAATCTATCTGCACATGGCTCAAAACAATTCCAAAATTTATATTATTCCTCATGTAGACAACAGAAATCCACGATTATTTTCTACAGTAAATAAACCCCACATGGTGACAATCAGTATTTTAAATTTTTCTTCTTGTCGGAAAATTATAATTTTTTTTAAAAATCTAAAAATTGAGAACAATTCCATAAATAAGAAATACATTTTTATGTTGGTAAAATCTATTTTCATTGTACTTATCGATTCCATCTGACCATTACAAGTTATTCACTTGACTCTACATAGTCGTGGTGCAACCTATGTTGTTATAATCTGTACGTACAACAATGCAGGTTGTCCAGGGTAATGTGTGTCATACATGCAATGAGAAGTTATGCTTAGAAGTGTTTCTAACGAATTTGCTCACATTTCCTTTCACAGGAGATTTTTGTTACATAAATTCATAGACTGAAGACGGAACAATCTTTGCAAACGTTTATCTTGTTATTGATTCTGTAAGAATTACTATTCTGTTGACGTTTGTTTTAAAATAAGCCAAAAGAAGTAAGCCGATCAGCTGAAATTGTATGCCCCTGACGTCAGAGTCGGCGAACTAAAAAGTGTAATGGCTGCAACGAGTGACAGCCTAACAAGATTCCGGGGTCAGCCGTGGTCTAATTGGACTGATTATTTGGGTCGGGACAGCCCTCTTAGTAAGTAATGAAGTCCTAATATGTTATTCATAATTCCACCAAAATTAGGTTCCAGTATGTTACTTAATACATTATGATTATGGAAGAGGTCATGCACCCGTAGCAGTGCCTGATTGAAAGTTATGCTGCTTTGAAACTGAAACCTGCAATTATTTTTTAGGCGATGAAGATGATCCCGACAAGCCTGTGCCAGATGTTATGAGACTTCCTAAGGAAGGTAAATTGCGTAGTTGTTTAAGTTTAAATCGTAATTCTGCCCATACCTAGATTGATGTTTTGAGGTTAAACAGTTGCATAGTTTAAAAAATGTCAGTGGTTGATATACATAATTCCCATGGAAAGAACAGTGAATTTATTCAATAAATAAAAAAGTTATGTTTGGATCTAAATGTTGTTATGACACTGTTTTGTTTGTGCAATGTGATTAAACTGATTAAATAAATAAATATCACTGCAAATCATGAAATGAAAGCACTTGGGAAATTTGTGCATACTATGGAAATAGAATAGAATATAATTTATTTACATTTCATAGGTCCATTATAGGCCAAAGCCAAGGATTTAGAACCTGTCATAGTACAATTACAGTAAAAAAGTAAAGTTAGTCCCACTATATGCCATGTAGGCGTTTGGGGTGAGAGGAGGTATAGCTCCTCTCTTCCTTGACCTCGGCACTAGATGGGGGTGAGTGGTCAGCATCACGCCCCGGCCGGCTTTACCCCCGGGAAAGGACCCCGGTGCCCATTGTAGAGGAGGCTGGGTGGGCCCCAGAGCCGGTCTGGATGCAGAGGCTAGAGGAAAAATCCTCTGCCCTCGTCGGGGATCGAACCCCGGTCGTCCAGCCCGTAGCTAGACACTATACTGACTGAGCTATCCCGGCTCATAGTACAATTACAGTACTTCTTTCTTATACAAATATAAATACTTGGTTGTGACAGTTATTTACACTTTGCCACAATAATACAGCAAAAGTAATTACACAAGAAAGTCCTGCCATTGTTACTTAGATGTATTTGTAATAGTTGAGAATTCTTGGTGAAGGTAAATTCTTCTATAGAGTAGAAGGAATGAGATAGGAGATACTATTTTAGTGTGGGTCCAAATTTTTCTATATCATAATTTAGACTTTTGACAGTAGGTGTTGTTCACCATAAATGATAGCAAGAATTCACTGGCTAGTGGAAGAATATTATACTTCTTAAATAATTCCTTACAAGAGGCTCTCCTTTTAGTGCCCATTGAATTTTCCCAGAAAGTTATTTCGTATGACATGACTGAATGGAAGTGAGCCGAGTAGACTAATTCTAAAGTTTCAGTTTTTGTGAGTAATTTGCTAGTGCTCATAGCAAAGCATGCTGAGCTTGGTTTAGGGATAATGTGTTGAATATGTTTTGGTCGTTATGAATTTGTAGGCCAAGAAATTTAATTGTTCCAAATTCTTTAATTGTCTTATTTCAGAATTTAATGAAATTTGTTTTTGTCAAAATTTGATGTGAGTTTATTGACTTTAATTAATTTGTTCAAACTAACAAAGACATCACTTGTGCAATTTCTGGATGTGAAAGAATAATATTAATATCATCAACAAAGAGTATAGGTTTAGGCTGAGAGTTAATGGTTGGGAGCAGATCATTGATGTATATGAGAGATAGCAGAGGACCACCCCAGTTAGTATAGGTGTTATTATTTGAATTTGGTGATTTTATTTCTACTTGTTGATTTACAAGTTTGTTTATTTCAAGATATTATCTTAAAATTTGGAATGATCCATTCCCTATGCATCATTCCCAATTCAGCATAACAGTTCTTTTGTTAATGTGCATTAAATAAAGCAAGAAACAAACCCTGACCCTTGATATGTTATACTGCAGTTTGGCAAGCCTGCTGCATTTATCTGTGTTCCAGCACATAAATCTTACAATGGAAGATGCAAGAAATGCGTTCTGATATATGCTCTTGTCTGTCAT